ACCGTGAGCTGTTTGCCGTCGGGTTCCGTGACTTCGCGGTGACGCGCGTGTTCACGTGCCACACGTCCGTGGTGCACGACTTGGCGTTCCCGCGCGACTACCCCCGCGTGTTCGCCACCACCAGCCGGGAAGACGTGCGCGTGTGGTCTGTGGACACGCTGCAGGAGCTGCTCCGCGTCACCGTCCGGAACCACACGTGCTCCAAAGTGGTGTTCGCGCCGGACGGCACACAGATCGTGACCGCGTGGTGCGACGGCCGTATCAGGTCGTTCGCACCCGAGACCGGCCGGCCGCTGTACACCATCGAGAACTGTCACAACGATGGCGTGTCCGTCGTCGCCGTGCACCTGGACGGCCAGAGGCTGCTGAGCGGCGGCGGTGACGGCCGCGTGTGCGTGTGGCTGGTCGAAAACGGCATCACCGCGCTGGTGGCCGTGCTCAAGGACCACAAGGGCAAGGTGAGCGCGATCGCGGTGCACCGGCGCGGCGACCGCATCCTCTCGTCCAGCGTGGACGGTACGTGCGTCATATGGGACATAACCCGGTACGTGCGGCTGTCCACCATCTTCTCCAACACCGTGCTCACCGACGTCCAGTATCATCCCAACGACTTGGAGATCATCATGTGCGGCACCAACGGTTACATCGGGTACTGGGACGCCATCGACGGTTCGCCCATCAGCAAGATCGAAACGTTCTCCGGGTCCTCGCTCAACTCTTTGGACGTCACGCCCGCCGGTTCGTACCACCGAATACCACCCACCTGATTCGATCATTTTCTCCGTTAACGCTACGTGCGTCCGATCACACATTGCAACGGGTTTCCGTGCTGATCCAATGTCCTAACATGCATTTGGAAAACGTTTTTCCGCTCGTCACCTTATGTCTACTTCGGAGATAACATTACACGTTGTAGTGGATTTTAACTCGTTTTGGTGAACCGCGAAATCGACGTTTTACGATTTTCTCTGAGCTCGAGGTCGAAAAACGCGCGCGCGCGCATAAGAAAAATAGAATGAGATGGAGCGATAATTTTAACAGCGTGCGTCAATCGAGGTCAGTAGTGATTCGACGAGGTTTTCACTGACCATGTCGGCGTCACGATCATCTGGACGCGTGGGTATAGTGCTCGGTCGCGATTTATTTATTCTTGTTCGGTAAGTTCACCTCTAAGACCATACCGACATACATCACTATATACTTCTTCATCTAACGATATCAAACGCGGTCTTCCTACCGGTCTCATCTCAGTTGGATCTTCTATTTTGGTTTCTCCGAGCACGCTCGGCCCACCGTGATCTTTTGTCGCCGATCATTCCCACCGTTTTGTTCGTGGATTTTTTCAAATTTTTTCTCCTCGCAGGAAACTACTTCGTGACCGGCAGCGTGGACCAGGTGGTGGAGGTCTGGCTGTACAAAGAAGGCAGGACCACGCACGTCGGGAGGGGGCACGCGGGCGCCGTGACCAACGTGAGGATCAGTCCGGACTGCAAGTACGTGGTGAGCACGAGCACGGACGGCGGCATATTCCTGTGGCGGTTCCCGTACGGGGCCGAGACCGAACCGCCGTCGGACCGGGACAGCGTGAACAGCGGTCCGTCGGCGAGCAGCTTACGGGAACAGCAGACGGCCCGTGCGAGGCAGCTGTCGCAGAAGAAGAAGTTACCTGCGCGCAAGGAGAACATCAAGGTCATATCGAAAACGCAAAACGTCCTGGCGGACGCGACCGGCAACAGCGGCGACGGTAACGCGAAGGCGACGGACGCGGACAGCGGCGGCTCGGTGAAGTGCCTGTGCCCGCGCGGTACGACGTGCTCGTGCAACGGCGACATCGGGTCCAGGAACAGCAGCACCGGCATCAGTTGGAACAGCAAACACTCCGACCGGTTCTCGTGACCGCGATTTCGGTTCCGTCGCTATACCGCGAAATCGAACGTTACACGTGTTTTTTTTTTCCGGGGTAAACGCGACCTGCGTCGTTTTATCATCAACTCTGTAAATCTAATGTAATGCTGTTGTATTGTGTACTACCACTGGGAAAATAAATGTTTATAATATAAAGGACTACGGCCGTTATGTTACGTTAAGGTTATGTCTAACGGCACATAATATTTCACGCGAATATCATGATCGATGATACTACGCGGACGTAAATAGTCAACATTTTAGGTCCGGATTGATTTATTTCGATGATTAATTTTGTGAACACGAATAACCTCAAATTTATTTTCTACCGCTCGATGTTTGAATTGTATACGAGACCATAGTATGTAATACATTTAACACAGGGACCCAATGTAAAATCAACATTTCATTCCGAATAATGGCTATTATTCGTACTACTGTTAGTATATTATTTGTCACAGATTTTTTTCAATACTGAAGATAATCAACAGTAGTTATACTTACTAGTAAACCGTTAAACAAAATAATGGTGTGTAAAATGGTCATAGCAGTTAAAATGATTATGTCTTATTTATCAATTGTAAAGAACGAAGAGTTATTTAAAAACACTAATGATAATTTACATAAACCGATTTTAACTGATAACAACAATTCGATTTCTGATGATGCTCGTTTAAGAGTAATGTTTGCGTCAAATAATGATAATGATAATTACCTAAACGAATTTCTGAGCAAATTTTTTTTTAAATCTTTTAACGTTTTTGTATATTACTTTTAGTTAAATTGATATACAGGAATAATATTTTAATATTTTTTAATTATTAAAATAAACATAACGAAAATAGTATACTAATCCGTATAAATGTTTTGCTTTTGATAAAGTGTTATTTATTTTCATTTGATTTTGAGAAGACTACCAAGACTGAATTATAAATCATTGACTATGAAAATTTGTTGTACATAATGTTTTTCATTTTTTTTCTAATTGTTAGTTGATTTGATTTTAGTTCATAAATGAATATATTTTCTCAACATGGCCAATTTGTTCACTTTTCTCTGTAGACTATAATACATGTTATACATGATATATTATAATAGGTAAAATTGAATATTTTGAAGTATAGATAAAATAATATTATAGTGCAATGGGCAATTGTAAACTCCACCAAAATATCAGTGAAGATAAAAAGGTAATAAAAGGTCTAATGTAATATAATATTTTTTTACTATGATTTAAATATTTATTGTTCATAATATGATATTATATTTCATTATAATTTTTTTTTAATAATATATCATATTAATTTTATACTACTACTTGATTTTCTTCACTGCTGGAATTTATATGAACTTAATTTTACAGGATTTTTTTGAGTGACGAAGTTTACATGAGCCTAATTTTACCTGTTTTTTTTCTGGCGGTGTTTACATGCGCCCAGTGCAATCGTCTTGAAATAAAATTATAATTATAATATATTAAAATCAAATGTTAATTTTGTTTCTTACATAAATGCAAAAAAAAAATTAAACAATTCATTGCAAAAAAAAAAAAAAAAAATATTGAAATATAATTTAAATTAAGCAGTTAAATAATAGAAAATTATATAGATCATTTTTAAAATACCAATTTATGAATTTGTAGTTATATTAAGTATACAAATATAGAAATATATACCAATAACTTTTAAAATCAATTTATTCCCAGATATAGAATAATTTATTAACATTATCTTTTAAAAAAAATTTTTTATTAACAGTTAAAACTTAAAATTGCTTTATAATAGCTTTAAATGGTAAGAAAATATATTTAAATATTTATGTATTAGAGTTGGAGATATATTTGAATGTTTTTATTATTCAGTCCTCGGTTTTACAGAACATTGGTAAACACACATCCCTATGACTTATGAGTATCATCAACCTCACCATAAAATAACATCCATGACAAATTATCTTCTACCCGACTTACATTTACGTTCCATTAAGTACAAAAAAAAAAAAAGAAAAGAATAATGTGAACTCTATAGTTTGCACGTCTGAACGAACACACTTTTCCAATAAGTTCACAAAAAAAAAAGAAACAAAAAATAATTGTAATGGTTTTGGGTTAATTTATTTCAACTTGAGATCTCTACTTTAAGATAACTTAAAACCACATTATCATTAAATATATTTATATATATAGTGAAGTAAACACGTTATACTAGGTACAAGAAAACGTCATATTAAATGTATAAAAAGAAATTCATAATTTATACATTTTATTTTTATTTTTTTATTTTTTATTTTTATAGAGAATTTTATAAAGAAGTTACAATTTTATGGTACATTTGTTACGATGAAAATTCCATAATTTATTTATTATTTATTGATTTATAATATAAATATAATTACAAATGTATTTATTCAAAAATATATTTATAATAATAATAATAATATTTATAAGAAAATTATTTTATATGATTTTATCTAAGTATTATACCTCAACGTCACCATCAGAATAAACTCATATTAATTTGATTTTTTTTTTTTATATATATAATTAATATCTTAGTTATTATTTTATTTTTGATACACGTGCAGTCGATGGCAGTACGAACGTACTAAAATATTAATAATATGTATATTTTAGATAAAATTATGATCTTCTTTGTTCCATTGTTAATCATTAAGGTTGTGGCGGTTCAATCAGCAGTTATTGGTGAATTTATTTCCAAATAATATTACATAAGTACAAATGTGTGTAAACATACAGTATTTAATATTATTAGTTATATCTATATGTAATAATTTATAACATAGCATTATTTTTTATCATTCGGTTCATCAATTTACAACTTCAATAGTTGTCATACATAATGATAATTTTCAGCCGATAAAAGGTTTTAAAACATGCTTCATATTTTTTTTAAAAAAATCATTGAAATTATTATAAACGTGTGATCGGTAGTTTTTATTAGTACTTTACTTTCATAAAGTATTGATCAATATACAAAAGAATGATCAGTATAACTTATAAAAAGTTTCAATTGTAATTATGTTATGACATTATTAAAACGTGTATATTTTTTAACAACTCTAAAATCAACACACAATGGTACGTAGGGCTTAAGCATTTTGAAAAATGGGTTCTCTGACCATAAATCACTAAAATCTGACTGTTATCGATAAAAGTCATATTGTATATATAAGACTTTTGTTGTTAAACACATAAAATAGATGAATGTATTAGGAGAGAGATTTACCAATTATTGTGGATAACCTTAAGTTTGAATTTGAAGTTAAAAAGTTTTTTAGTTTAATTATTTTAGCTTTAAGGTTAAAATGACATATAACCCAGCCTTTATTAGATTCCCTTGCAATAAAAGTTATAAATAAACAAACCACATAAATATTTTTTTAAAAAAACTCATCTTAAGTAAATTACTTAAAAAACGTTCAATCAATGTCAATAACATCAGAAACAAACGTAAACTTTTTAACGATACTGTACCTTTTTCTAAAATAAATTCTAGAAGTATAACTCGTAATAGTGTTTATCATATTTCTTTCGGGTAAAAATTAATCTCCATGCAAATGAAAAAAAAAAATTTAGACGTGATGAGATTTTAAATCTTATAAAATGTCTGCTAAAATAATTACAATATATTATTATAATTACCATCTATAATTAATTAATGTTAAGAAATAAAATATGACTACCTGCCTTTCTGCATTTTCTGTCTTCACGTTCTTATTAATATCATTATGTACGAATGTTAAATCCATTTTTCTAGTGTAAATTCTCACTACATCAAGCATAGATATTTTTTATCAACTTCAAAATTATTACATAGATTTGAAACACACTATATTAGTAATAACAATATAAAATTAATGTTTATTGTACTTGTTCTTTTAGGTTCAGTAAAAAAATAAATACTTAATATCAAATGAAACCAATCAATTTTGTAGTTTCACTAACGCCAAATACAATATTGTTGACTTCACTAAAATTGCACATCCTAAATCACCAACAATAGTTGTGAAAATGTCTATACGCAATAAATATAATGCAATTTCTCTTGCAACGCCCGTCGAAATGGACCTCTACTCTCTCATGAATAATATTTATTTCGGTTCACGTGATAATAAAAATACTTGGAATCGCCTTGTGAAGTGACGACGTAATAAGAATGGCACGTAAGGCTAAACAATTTTGCGAGAACTTCGGATAGAAAACCGTCATGATTATTTTTTTTTCGATAAAGGAAAAAACGCATACCAGCGACTGATATTGCTTTTGGTTATCGATTCTATGTTCATCGAAAGTTTGCCAAATATAAATCTACTCAGAACGAAAAGTTCTAAAAATTAAACCATTAGCTAATGAGATAAAGAAATTCGCTTGAGTATAGATTTTCAAATGATACGCAACTGAGGCCGAATATATTAAAGAAATTCAAGTAGCAACCTGACATATTGGTGTGATTAATCTCAGTTAGACGAACCATAACTAACGGCCAATGTATCAAAATAATCCCAATTACATTCTTGATGAAATTACAATTTCATCAACTTATACTCGTATGCTACACAATTACTAACATCAGAAACTACACCACCCACGCCCACTAATACGCAAATATCTACACTAGCTCAATCCCCTGCAAACACTTATGATTCTGAAGAGTTGAATTTTACAGATTTAATATAAATATGAAAACATTTATAGTAAAAAGTTTTTTAATATTAATAGGTCCTCATTGATTATTTGTGTTTAAATAGTTTCTATTAACCATACAAGCAGTTCATTATTCATTATAAGTTATTACCAATTTTCATTTTATTTTATTAAATTTAAATGTTAATAATAATTCGCAGATTTAATATTCATTTGAAAAATGTATAGTTTGTATTAAAACCTTCTTTGATATAAATACACCCTCATTGATTATTCATTTTTATAACGTTTTTATTTACCATATAAGCAGTTCATTATTACTCATTTA